CACGGTTTTGCATTCGTTGGAAAGGTCTCGGGCTCCGTGAGGTTTATAAAATATAAAACAAAAAAAAATTGTTCATCTTTTAATCACCAAACGAAATGAATGATTACATTAAACGAAGCCATCTGGTGGCGAAACGGAGTTTGCCGGGTTCGCTAGTACTCTGTAAAGTTTGAACAACAAAATAGATTTACAAAAAATCAACCCTATTATCAAGGGATAAGATCTTAGTTTTCGTAAGCACTTTACAGTAAAAGTAAATTTTCAAACTCAAATTCTATTTACATATATTTTTTAACCAAGTTTACACTTATTTATCCAAGTATCGCCGTGGGGTGAACTAGTCAAATGAATGCGAAAGTATTTTTATCGAATCTTCTGGACTATAAATGGAAAGAGAGCGCAGATTGCTTCGTCCCACATTGTCTCAAGGGTCAACTTACAGAAATTGGGTCACTTCACTAGAAGAAATGGTCTGACAGAATTTTTATTCAATTTGCGATTTTCAAGACTTCTTTTAAGACCCGTATAGTTGATAAAAATTGAAGTGAATAATTGTAAGTCACACCTATATTTCTATAGTGAAAAAATGTACCTTCGTATGTATAGACATGCCCATAGTCCCAATAGTGAACTATACGAACTATCGATAATGGCACCACCATTATCAATACGGTACGTTGATGGTAAAAAGACAATAGATACAGACTTATCGAGTTGCTGCGGCTCTGGCTCGAAGAGCAGGAGTAGGAACAGAGTGGTTTTTAGTTAGTAGTCTAACACTCCCCCTCGCCTCAGCTTAAAAAGTAATTAGATGATTTTCTCCCTTTGTACCTACTCACTTTGAAAGAAACAAGGCTTAGCTTAGCGTGCCCACTGGCACAAACGGACATCTCTACATACTCGTAATATAAACAAAGACACTGGTTCATAATTATTGTTGTATGAAATGTAGTGCAAAGACGCATGTCAGAAAGGTAAACCGCGCTGTAGCCGACATTCTTTAGACATAAACCACAGCACATAATTTGTAGTAAGCTAGTTTTGATGTAACTGAATATGTTTAGACTCCAGCTTTTCTTTACACAGGTCCATTAAAAATACTTTGTCTATATTCTGATACCATGCATTTTACTACCTGATAGTATACATAAATATTTAAAATAGAAAAGTGTTAATTCAGGATGTGGCAATCACCTAAACTAAATCAGTGGCAGTAGTTTTGGGTTCAATTTTTGACCAATAAATAATTAATCATTCATTACATAACTCTATCTACTTCTTCATAATATTAATTTACACAAGTATTGCTCTGCTGAAAATAACAAGTACGACAGTAATAATACCCTTCTAAATAATTTTTATGTTGAGTAACAGATTTCGACTACTGCAGACATTTTACTAGAACCAAGATAAACGTGGTAAGGTGGCTGATGTACTATTATTATGAAACCGCGACATGTGGCCCTAACTGACGTCATGTCAGACCAATGTCAGGCCAGACCCTCTCGGCTACATGTAGGGAAAGTAGAAGAGAAGGTCTATATGCAATGATTTTTATCTCTCAGTAAAGAAAGATATAAAAAACATATTTTACATCCTAAAAACCGCTAGAATATACTGTGTGATAAGTTCAGAAACTGACATATCTCGAATGATGTTCATGTTGACCAACAGAATAGATCTGTGTTTTGTTTTATTGTTTTATTAATTTTAATAACTCTTTGGTTATTGAATAACTAATAAACAATGCGTATCAGTCATTCAGTACGTAGCACGCACCTATATTATTAGGAAGTGAAGAGAAGCGCTAAAGAAATATAAACCTAAAAAATAGACATCATAAAATCTACGACTTACCCTCTTTTTTGAGGACGGGACTACCACCATGTATATTTGAATAATTTTTAGTCATACTCAAAACAGACAACGATATTTTACTAACTGCTATGACATTCGTCGCTATAGAACTTCTGTTCTTTATCTTTTTGGTCTAGTAAGTGTCACCCAGGAATGTAATATTCAAATAGACCCTTTGTTCGTTGTAAATCTTCTTTAAGTACACGTTAAGTATTATTGTGACGTCTAAAGCTTTTGTTAGGCACCAAATTATTTTTGAGAGCTACTAACATAATCTAGTCAAGAAATGTCGCGTGTGGATACAAGGTAATAGTTGAATAAGATGCAATGATAAGTGCAGCTCTTACATGGGCCTCATAACATAAAAGTGGGTGCTACATTGTACAGTGGCATTAAGTGCCGTAATGTGCACCTCTGCCTATCTCTTCGGGAATAAAAGGCGTATTGTTATGTCATGTGATAAGTGCGACCAGTGAGTCGAAAAAAAATCGATCTTAAAAAACGGCATACTAACGCACACATGAATATAGACGGTGCAACACTGCACTGAGTGGCCAGGTTCAAATGTGGCCAGTTAACCACATTTTAACGTACTGTTTGCTGTGAGCTTATAATGTGTTTACACTTTTTAATTTATAATATTTTGTCATCAACGCCATCCCATATCTATAGGTAGTTAGATTTGAAAAACGTAATTATTAGTTTTCAATATTTTATTAAAACCAATTACTATCAAATACATAGCCTTACAATACGCACTAGCTGTATGAGATCGCTGAATTACTCTAACGCATTCCGTTGTTTATTAATTAAGGTAAATGCACCTTATTCCGAGGGGTTCTAAAAATGGCATCATATTCCGATGTATTTAGAAAAACAGTTTTTTAAAGCAATTTACTAGTTATTTATGGTCTGCATGATAAAATAATGAATTAATAATTATCTGTTCATATTTATTTATACAAAGGAGAGTTTAGTATGGTCACACTGTAAAATAATCGGTCTTTTTGCCGCGGGGAGCGGCGTCGAAAGCACACTTCATACATTTGGGACCTTATGCACGTGAGTATTACGATTTGCCAAATAGTATTTTACGTAATAATTTTATACAACGCGAGTTTTCGTTTAGGTTGAAATATTGAAAGGATAATTTTTTATCGAAAACACTTAAGATTTGAGTATTTTATTTGCAAATTAGCAAAAAAAAGTGTTTAAAATACCGCGGCATTAGGTGCAAAATATTTTAGTGTGTTCCTAAAAGCCGATGTATACCACGGAAAAACAAATTTAAAGGCATTTAGTTTTTTTTAATTTCGGTGTCTGTTTTATGATTATAAACTTTAATGTGTTAGTTCTGACTTAATGAATAACTAATACATTTAATAATCTATTTCCGAGGTACACCGTGGCGTCGCATTTACTAATTATAGCAGGTCAAAAATTGTTTGTACAGGTACTTTATTAATACGTTGTATAGAAGATTTTAGTGAAGAAATGAGGTTTTATAAGTGTTCTGTTATTATATGTATGTACTTTATATTTGTTTTCCTTTCATATTGTAACTATACATTATTTTATTTGCATAATATTAAAAAATCTTTAACTTTTTAGTACTCGGAATTAGAAACTTTGATTTAGCATCATAAAACGCTATTCCGATGTATTTACGTCGGAATAAGGTTACATGAGTACCTAATTCCGATGTATTTACGTCGGAATAAGATTACATGAGAACCTAATTCCGAAGTTAGTTAAGACCCTGTTTAAATACAGAGTGTTCATTATTTTATGTGCTTAGTAGATACGCGTTTAGTAACTGAAAGAATACTAATCATCTATACAAATACATAAAATTGGAGTGTGTGTTTGTAAAAAAATATAATAAAATTATTTTTTTTACGTTTAGTTTTTTTTTAATTGCATGTATTTTATTTATTTTATTATATTAAAGAAAATGACTTTAGAAGACTCTTAAGAATATTCATATTAGGTATTTTCCCTTTTTACCGGTGCTACTACGGGTCGTAGCACAGGTAAAAATAAACAAATTTGGATCTCGTAATAGGCTCTAATTTTGATATGATTATAGCAATTGTTATACTTTTAACTTGTAAGTACAAAAAAATAATAATGTAATTATTTTTGTAATGCAACAATTAGATTTTAATGTTGATATTGTTAATTCATTTTTATATTTTTATAAGATTAAGGAATAATATTAATAAAAAACAGGGTTTAGAATTAAACTAGAATAAACAAAAACAGAATTGATTTAAGTAATATAAAAAATAAACAGATTTGACTTTTAAACATCATGTATAATTCTCCCTACATAGTTCCCTTTCTATTTTTATACTCGGAATTAGGAACCAAATGCATCGGAATTACGATTTTTAAATCGGAATAAGGTACCTCGGACTTTTTTATATTTTTATTTATTTTATCAGCTTCAATAACCTTCTACTGACAAACTGCAAATATTTTTCAAAAATTTGATAGCTAACACTTCTGATAAAAATATAAAATTGTACACAAAGGTCCGATAAATACTTAATTTATAATGTTCTTTCGTGTTATGTTAAAAACAGCGCGGAATTAGGTGCCTTTACCTTACTAATTTATATTTAACAATTTATTCGACTCGTTTTGTTGATATTATGTTGTAGTTTGCCGATGATAATAATGACTCGTCAAGGGATTCAGAAAATGTTTTGGTAAAAACTGTTTTATATATGCAAGATATCATTATAATACTGCACTTTATTGCATTCAATCAATTGTATTATCTAATGCACACCATCATTAAATAACAAATCACCATCTGGGTCAGCAATAAAGGAAGAAGTGCATGAAGAGTATATTTTAGCTAAGTCTATTTCCTATTTCCTAGAACTGAGCTCAGCTGTCGACAAACAGACCAAATGTTATATACTTAAAATTGTTGATGACATAACAGCATTTACTAAGTCGCCTACCGTTTAGGTTATGACAAAGTCAAGGACGTTTTACGACAGACGAAGTTTAATACCTATCTCTTTCATAGGTAATTTTGCATAGATAATTAATTTGGCCCAACATAATAATCAACAAGACGAGTCTGGTGTAATGTTATAATAATATTAAATTGACACAAACATTATCTTCTAATCCACTGTGATGAGCCCACTTTCCCTGACCACTTGCTCCGTCGACACAGGATTTAGGAACACTGGAAAGAAAGAGAAAAATGAAGTAAAATAATACATTTATAATAACGTCATGATGGCCCGTAGGTTTAGGACGCCCGCTTCTCATGCATGATCGAGAGTCAGAGTTCGAAACCTACCAACAGCAAGTATCAATGTGACTTTTCCGAGTTATATGTACTTTCTAAGATTATTTAGACACCACTAACAAACGGTGAAGGAAAACATTGTGAGGAAACCTGGGCTTATAATTTCTGATTATAAGTTTGAAATTGTCAATCCACATTGAGCAAGCGTGGTGATTAATGCCTCAAACCTTTTCCGTGTGAGAAGAGGCTTTGATAAGCAGAGGACATTTATAAGCTATTGAAAAATTATCGGATTTTTGTAAACGAACTCAATGGATATCTTGGCCTACTCGTTTAAAGCGGGATCCTGTTAATGTAGGTATAGGTACGTACAAATACTAAAGTATGAAAAACTATTGAATAAAATAAGACGCAAATAATAAAGATTTCATTAGTCTATTTATTCCTCGCTTCACGGAAATATTTCCGAAGTTATTAAGTATTCAGCATAATCAGCATAATTGAAAAATTGTTAACAGACTATATATTGTTAAAGATATCTGGTTGCTCGCTTATTATGCGAGCAACCAGCAACAATAAAAAGGAGTAGACATACAAAACCATACTCACTTGTGCTACCTGTAAATAAGTCTTGGTCCGGTATGATGCTGGCAGCTGCGATGGCTGCTTCATCCAACACGATCACCTGGAACCCATTGAAACGATAATAAATGCATGCACTCAAAATGTTCTTCCTACAACAACATTTACGTATTGAATCGATTCTCCGCGCTTTAGCTTCTTATTTGTTGAAACACTAGCTCCCGGTATAAACACCATTATGGCCGCAACTTTTAACAGACAAGAGGATATGGACTATACATTAATTTGACAGACAGACACTGGGACAACACAACGTTTTTTTTATAAACCTGAACCTTATAAACTGCAGAAGCAGTTTCAACAAACCCTCTAATTTAAAGAAGGTTCATAATCTAGTAGAGGACCGTCACGAGCTTTTGTTATTTTTTTAACAGACTTCAAAATAAAGAAGGTTCTCAGTTCTAGTTCGCGACTGCTTCGTTAGCCGAGTGGTCGCAAGTGCGACTGCCGGACAGGCAAAGTACTATTGGGTTTTTAAAAAAATCTCAGTAGTAGCACAAAATTTAAAATTGTGCCCGGTATATGGCAATAGGCTCACCCCCTATTACATGGGACTCATAAGATAAATAGTGAAAAGTGGGTGTCACATTGTACAGTGGCATTAAGTAATGTGCACCTCTGCCCTTTGGGGATGAAAAGGGAGATGTTATAAAAGAAATAGTTTAAAAATCTTTGTTTAAATTCAGTAATACTCCAAAAACTTACTAATTTGATATTATTCTAGATAACAAATAGACAAACATTTTTAAAAATATATTCTTTACTTAAACAAAAATTGGAGATAAAATTTCTATCTAACTGTAGCTGTATGCTAACGAGATCATGTCTTCACATAATATTGAGGATGAAAAGTGCTTCATTTTTACAAGGAATTTTGACAAATACTTGAATTATATTTCTTTCTGAATTAATAAAAGGCCTGGCAACAAAAAATACTTTGTGCCGTCAACAACAAAATATGAATATAAATAAATCATACGTATATAATTAGAGTCGTTACAATCAGTTCTTACCTTAGGGAACCCATAAATCCTGGTCTTTTCGATAACATCAGCAGTCTTCTTCTCTTCAAGCATGGGGTTCCTAAGTGGCAGCAGGTCTATCGCATTGGCAGCCAAAGACCAAAGATGACCAGCGCCTTGTGGAGCTCTGGCACCCTTCCGAAAGTGAGGGTTGATGGATAAGTTGTGTCTTACTGAGTTCTTCCAGCGTTCATCATTAGCTTTGTAGAAGGGGAAACGGTCCCTGGAAATAAGGAGATAGAAGATTAGTTTTGATATACATACATACATTCATAACTTCACGCCTGTATCACATGGGGGCAGGTAGACTATTTCCATAGTCTATTGCTATGATTCCTACGTACCTCTTTCGTTATATTTTGTAATAAACTGGGCGGCCTACTAGTAGATTATAGTCAGCAAACAAAATATTATTAAAATTAACAAAAATATAAGTTCTGAGAAAAAAAGACTTCAAATAATCTTCTCATCAAGCACCGATAAACGTTCCTGAGGCCCAAAATCTAATATAACACCACCTGCTTAACGCTAAATTATATTATGTTTACAAGAGACATCGGGGCACGCGACCTCGTAGCTAGGACGCGCGTCCTGTCTCCGCCTGGCACCGAGATCGATTGCTCTGCGAACCGCGACCGACCGATGCACGACACCAGAATTATCTAATACTGTACCACGCCTATGCACCTGTTTTTATTTATCGAATTAAAAACAAAAACCAATAGCACAGATAATTTTACATCATATTTAAAGGTCATCAAGGTCGGTTATTCTTTAAAGCTTTCAATATCGTTATTGATGGTTTAAAAACAGGCCCGGGTCAAATTTTGATGGATATTGTGTTGCACCTGCCTATTAATTGGTATGGGGATTAAACGTGAAAAGGGAGAGCCTACGTGGAAGCGATATGTTACGTGTTTTTTTTTGCTTTTATCTAAGGTTTTAAAAGCTTTTTTATAATAGGGTGGGAAATGACAATCTGATCAACAATGTTTACAGGCGTTGTTCTTTTTGATACATGTAAAATTTTTCATTGATCTTGTGAAAAACTTTGTTGTGAGTTTATGTGATAAATCTATTTTTTTTTTACATTTATTGAGACACGTCTATATATATAAATTTACAATTTAGACACGGAATCTGGATTTGTGCTCGATATATGGTAATAGGCTCATGCCCTATTACATAAGTGCCACAATGTCCACCTCTGTTTACCCCTTCAGGGTTTTTTTAACCCGTTTCGATTTGACTAACGAGATAGAGATAGATATTGCTGTTATGTGTGATTTAAATTAACATTAAATTCCTCACACGTGAAAAATAAACAATACAAAAGTATGCACGACGACCTTAACCATCTAGATTTGAACCCATCTATATTTTACCCACTTTTTGTACAGATAACAGTATATCTTTATCTCATTGGTCAAGTCGAATGGTCACTAGTGAGGTCACCGAGGAAAGTACGTGTCAAGTTCGATTCCTGATGAGAGCAAAATGCTGTTGGGTATTATTACGATGTTTCCAAAAATAATTATAACAAAGAGTCTATCGGTGTATACGGGCTGCTACATGTGTACCTCTACCTACTTCGTCTGGTACTTTAAACCGTAATGTTATGAAACGCTTAGTGAAAACTCTACAAACATTCAATAAGGCTCCGTGGCCTATATCTAGTAATCGCGGCGATATAATTACGCTATCAGCAATCCGTTGACATGGTTAACAGCAGGATTGCGATGTTTATCGGAGCGTTACCGAGGGGGAATGTTATTAATTTATTATCGCGATAATGTTCACTACCGTTTAGAGGGGAGCTTTGTGATTCGTGGTAATCTGTTCGATTAGCGTTGTTTATTTAATCGGTACAGTTATGATAAGAGGGGGTAGGCTGTGCCCGACAAATAAGTTCGTGTGAAAAATGTAATTATTGTGTACCTGTGACATATTTATCTGGCTATCTCTTGAACACAGTTGTAACAGGTTAAGCCATCCTAGATATTTGGTGTAGGTTTTTTATTACAGTTGATTTAAATCTGGCACCCTGTATAAACCTTACCGGTTTAGAATAATTGAACTTTGAGGTTTTTGATTAAAGATAACTATTTACTCATAAATATACTGAGAATAGCTCAAGTAGTTTCGAGTTATAGAAAGGAGCGTGTACGGTCGTGACGACATCGCGCAGCCTATGCATTTGAGGTTTTTCATACAAAAAAACCATACAGTGGTTGCTATCTTTATGAAACGTGCTGAAGTGAATAATTATGCAATAATACACCAGATTTATTTTCAATCTAAGTCAAAGTCAAAGTCAAAATAATTTATTTCAATTTAGAACGCCAACCAAAAAATATTAAAAGTCTTCACTATGAATTTTTTTTTTTTTTTTTGTTGGCTATTTGCTCATTCCAAGGTGTAGATTCTTAAGGAGAAGAACGAGCAAGAAACTCCATAGGTTAAGGTAGAACTAGAACTCTGATGTTCTTGATTGAAGAGTGCCAAACGATGTCCAGACAACATTTGCTTAATATGTATTCACTCAACTAATGAGGCAGACAAACAAACTGCCGTCAAATAAATCTAAAACCTACTAATTTTTCCCTATATTTTACTTAATAGCTGAACAAAGAAAACTAAATTGTATTATAAAACGAACAAATAGAAATAACAACATACACAATAGTACCATCAGGTAACAGAGGCCCAATTTCTTTTGTATTTATAATAGTTGGTATAGAAGCTATTGTTGGGTAAAATTGATTAATTGGAATACAAACAAGCAATTTGATATCAAATGGATCAATGAATGAAATGGCTAGCTGTTACCCGCGGATTGGATGGCATCATCAACTATCATCATTATTTTCATCGCCATCCTCATTATCAACGTCAGAAGACGTCCTCTGCTGGACAAAGGCCTCCCCTTAGTCCTCCACGTCAAACTACAACTTGTCACTGGATCCTTTGCTCGCACGGTCAAAGGAAAAAAGTGCCCTACTGTAATCATAAGCGTACGGCGCGTCGCGTTCCGCGCGCGCCTCAAAGAGCCATCAGACCACCACGGATGGGGCCCAATAGGGCTCCGTATCGGCATACGGAGTCGCGGAGAACCTAACGGGTTACCGGGGCTCCGGTTGGTGCAGGAGTAGGAACGGGGTGGTTTTCAGTCAGTAAGAGTCTGACACTCCCTCCCGCCTCACCCAGGCGGGAGAAGTCATTCAATGATTTTCGCCCCTTAAAAAAACTGTAACTATAAATAAAACTCATTCTGAATTAATTATTCATTTAAATATTTTCACGTTTGACTGCCAAGCAAGTGGTCACGGGTTCGATTTACGAGTCGGGCGAAGCACATCATTGTTATAAGAATGTTAGTAGTATAATGTTAATATCGAACCCCGATGATATTACTGTTGAATAAAACTATGAAAACGATATCTATCACAAAAGTTATAGACTTACGTGTATCCATTTGACGCAGCATTTATTATGTAACAATACTGCGTACAAGTCACACAAATATGTAAACTACGTATAAATGGCAAGATAGTTGAGCAAATCTACCTTTTTTAACTGACTTCAAAAAAAGAGGTTTTCAATTCGGATGGTACGTTTTTGTCATGATCGGTATAGCAATCAGTTCACAGAAACGGCCATAAAATCATTAAAGATTTGAAAGAAATAAAACAGTAGGAATTATCCTGCACATAATTGTTCGTCGTAGATCTACAAATAAGTCATGACATCTCAACTTTTATTCTCCAACAGTGTAAATAGAAGCATACTATAGCAATAACATTATTATAGTGAAGATTGTAAAATAAGACAAAATGTCACCCCACATTAGGTCATAATGTCGTATTCGTACAAAGGCTACATACATATTGCATAATAATAAACACGAATTGCATTTACATGAGTATTATATCGCAAAAAAATAAAAAAATAATGTAAGTACCGATGAACTGTAAAAATATATCATCAATAATTTCTACATCAACTACGCCGTGTCTTTTATTAAAATAATACATACCTGCATTTTCATATGATGACGTATCAATAGTTTAAATGCAGTGGAATCATAAAAAAAGTTTACTTACGAAATCCATTGATATATAGCAGAGACCGTCAGCTCCCCATTCTCTCGCAAAGCTTTTTCTATCAGCTCTGGGTATGTGTACGGAGGTTTCTTCAGTGCGGGCGGTGTATCAGGAATGTCCACCTTCGGCTCTTTCACCACAGGCTCATCATCTGGCACTTTGATATTCACGAAATCGTCCAATCTGAAGTTCAATAGCCATGCAAGGCTCGCACAATCATTGTCGTCTTCTGTAGGACTTTTGGAGCATTTTCTTCGTCTCCATTTCGACCTGTCACCTGTTCTAGCCGCCATTTTAGTAGGATACGATTGGCAGCCACGACCGCACTGATGCCGTTCGAAATTCGAACGTCAGTGTTGTGTTTCGTGCCAGTCCGTGCTATCTCTGCTACACTTGTAATCTCTTTGGGGTGCATGGAGGTGGTATATAGAAGTTTTATTACAAAAAGTTTTTATTCGATTCTTTTATTTTACATGTTTTGTGAAATAGATTTTTTTTTTATTTTATGAGTTTTGTTTTAAATAATAAAATGTTACTACTTACAAAAGGCACACCGGCCATGAATATTAAGTTTATGTTTTTAATCTACTCAAAGATAAAAAGATAAAAATATTGTAACAAGAAATGATTGATTTTCTCAGAAAAGGTCAGAATAGAAGTAAATAAGGTTATATTTTTTTAAGGTTGATAATTCGTGAAAGAACTAAGAATACGACTGGTATATTAAAACCTACTTTCTTAGATACATCTTACATAATGATATTTATATTTGTATTGAGACAATATTGCTATACTTCATAGCAAAATAATAGACAAAGCTTTATCTTACAAAAGATTGGTAAGGAAAATAATTGTCCAATATTCCTGTTATGTTTCGTATAGACAGCAAACCAATTATTTATGAGTATCATCAATACTTAATGGAAATTCAATAGACCTGTCGAACTTACCTTTGCTCTTTCGTAACAAAACAATCTTCTGTACTCAGATGAAGAGATGTACCTTGTTTAATTCAGTTATCGTACATTTAAAATTGACTGTGCAAATCAAATATTATAACCAAAGTTTGATTTACAACCAATAGCTAACTAAAATCGTTAACAATACAAATCGAACACTTATTTGTATGTGGTCATCTACTTAATTGTGCTAATAAAAATGTTATTTACCTCGGTCATTCCTAAGTAGAATGTTCCTAAGCAAAATGTAAGGGGGTAGGTAGTAGATAGAGGTGCGGCTTGAGCCAGGATTCAGAAATTAGAATGGCATGAACATTCCTATGACAAAATTAACTGCCTCGTTGGCCGAGTGGTTACGAATGCGACTACCGAGCAAGGGGTCTCAGGTTCGATTCCCGGGTCGGGCAAAGTATTACTTGGTATTTAAAAATTGTCAGTAGTAGCACGGAGTCTGGAATTGTGCCCGGTATATGGCAATATGCTCACCCCCTATTATGGGACTCATAACATGAATAGTGAAAAGTGGGTGTTACATTGTACAGTATCATTAAATGCCGTAATGTGCACCCCTTCAAGGATAAAAGGCGTAATGTTAGGTTATGTTACATTTATTGGAAAAGGCTTCACATTATATTTTTGTACGGCCCTTGATCCCACACTAGGATTCCCTGTGTCGTGAGGCTCAGTCTTTTTCAGTCAGCAAAACATTAGTAATTCACCGAGGGAAGTGGAAACCATATTTTTTCTTCTTCTCCTCTTATAATATCTTCTGATTCACTTCGTTGCGGGAACCAAGACAGTTACTCATGTCTCTGGGACGCGCCGGACTTCAGTGGTCCGGTGTTTTCATGGTTGTATTTACTGTAGATCCTGGCTTACAGGAGTTGCAGTGGTTTTGGGAGGTTGTGGCGGGCTTGTCCCATTAGTAGACCTATAACTTATTGCTCATAAAATTGGTAGCATATCTTCCTATAATTCATATATGAATTCCCATAGAAATTCCGACATTTCCCTCCAACAATACATGAGCCGTTGTGTTGTTTTCTTATAATAATTGTTTTCGGATACAATGCAATATTTGTTCAATCCTCGGCGTGTTAAGTTTGTTTGCAATATCTTTTGTTAGTACATTGTTACTTTTTCGCGCGCTTCGCTTTTTGTTTGCGAACACAAAACGACGAATGTTTATACAAGATTAGGTTCTATTTGTATACGATTTAGGTTCGATAATGGTGTGTTAATTTGTTTTTGTTGGTGTTTCAGGATTCTGTAGAATTGCTGATGCAGATATTTAAGTTTGTATTCATTTTATCTGCTTATTGTTTAATGGATAAATTTCAATCTTATTTGACCATATTATACTATATTTGACATAATTTGTAATTTGTTCTCTCTTAGTTGTTAACTCTTATTGCATCTGTAACAAGAGTACATAGTATATCAATACACTGAATACTCGATTACATGATTGACAGAATAGGGACAACGTCACTCAAAAATCAAAGCTTCGTTTTTTCTACCATTTAAATACCATCTACCAACTAGGACCCGTGAACCATTCAATTAGTCTTTTCACAAACGTTGACCTTCCAATCTGGACAAAGGCTAGGTAATCCAGCATACATTTCGACAACCCTCCCCCAGCAGATAACAGGTCACTATTAAATTATCACCGTGCACCGTCCACGGATGCTTTTTCATCCCGTCCGATGCGTACACATTTTAAATTCAATTACTTTTTCCAATTTACACGGGGTGCCGCGGATTTCTCGCAATAAGTGACTCTGGATTGATTTGTTACATGTGCTCAATGCTTTTGTTTTTCGTTTCATTATTACTACAAAAGGTTTTTTCGGTGAAATTTTTCGATTTGAGTGCCGGGTTTCCAGCTTCGAGGAAGAGAGATTTCAAATGAAGCGTTGTTTTTTTTTTTGTTTCGTTGATTCAGTTTGTATTGGGCTACGGTCAAAGTAATAAAAATAATGGGCCTCAAAACTTATGTAGTATTTATGATTATAAAAAATACTAGCGTGTACCAGCGTCATCGCCGCGCATTCCCGTGGCATAAAAAGTAACCTATGTGTTATTCGCAATCTACCTGTATTCCAAATTTCATTCCGATTTCTTCAGCCATTGAAAGAGTAACAAACACACATATACAAATCACCCTAACAAACTTTCGCATTTATAATATTAGTAAGATATCAACCTTACATTTACAATTTTCGTAATGTAATAGGTACTTTATCTCAAGACTGCACCAAAAACTAAGTTCAACTAAACAGTCAACAGCTACTCAATAATCGCTTCAAAATATCCCTGTTAAAACATTAGATGATCCGATAAAGTTCTTACATAATATTTCAATTAACCCTTATTCAAAATACATCACGAATTAAATCTTCATTATCCCATTACAGTTTAAATGTCTTTAACTTTCCAAATCTCAAGGGTTGGGGTCTTTGCAACAGAAGCCTTCATTTCTTAAGATGACCTTGGACTAGTTCTATCCCTTTTGTTTGGGAAACGCCTAAAGCCCAACAATGCTGTAAACCCCAGCTGTGGCCAGCATCAATGCTCATTTAGAATAAAAGAATGTTAATGGATAAACTTCGTTATTTTGTAAAGAGTAAAGAGTCAGAAAAAGTTCGCAGCTCATTTTTAAGGTTGAATTGATTGATGATACGGCAACAGATTGTGGTTTTTTAATATACCATCATCACGCCTTTTATCCCCAAAGGGGTAGCTGCCTACCCCTTTGGGGATACTACCTACTAGGTGTACCTACATTACGGCACTTATTGCCACTGTACAATGTAACACCCACTTTTCACTATTTATGTTATGAGCCCCATGTAATAGGGGGTGAGCCTATTGCCATATACCGTGCACAATTCCAGACTCCGTGCTACTACTGAGATTTTTTGAAAAAGCCCAGTAATATTTTGCCCGACCCGGGAATTGAACCCGAGACCCCTTGCCCGGCAGTCGCAATTGCGACCACTCGGCCAATGAGACAGTCTACTGCTACTGGTTTTTTAATACTATATCGTAATTTATTTTTGCTAATGATATGACTTTCTGTATCATGACTAAAATTTATCTACAAATAAGGAAGCTAACAAAAACATAGCAGAGAAATAACCATAATTATTCAAATTAATACCTCGACAAATAATATTCACGAAAAATTAATATTATTCCGATCAAATTGAAGGTTTTCAAACCAACAATTTTATATTACAAAACGATTTATCTATACGAAACTAATTTGTATCCAATTAGAAAAATAATTACAAATGCGGCACCGAAGCGGATATACATTGGTGTAGGAAAAATAAAACGTCCGTTCAGAACCGAGTGAGATCCGATTTAATTCGATTACGAGCATCGCATTGAAACGTTTCGAATTGAATCGATTTCTAAGTGTTTCGATTTAATTGAAGCCCATGCTGTTCTCGTATCCGAATGCAATTATTTACCATTTACCGGCCGATGCCCGCAATCGTTATAACCAATGATGCTTCGTTTGAACGATTTCTTATGATCTCTTAATTGGGCGAGTTACTCGACTAATTTCAGTGGCAAGCTTAGATTTTATTCAAAATTCGAACATTTTATTACAGATAACATCCTCATTTTCTTTTGAATTGTATAAAGGTTTAAAATTTAAAAAGATATAAAGGAATCGCAAATGCCGTCTCGCTGACGTCAACTAATTGATAAAAACTCTACCAGTGTCAAGTCATTGCGGGATTCTTATTCATGACTCATTTGCTATTATAAGTTTTGTATGACCTTAACAAAAAAAAAATATTAACTTAAAAATAACTATGAAAATAGATAAGTACCTACTTCATTAGTCTATAATTATCACCAATAGTAACTATACTGATCTGTTAAACCAATGAGTTAATGTTACGATGATAACGATAACTGCACAATGTCAATGGTAATTGGCATTACGTAATCTGCTAATTAGGATCTGGTCGGTAATTTAATATCCTTCGATACAACAGCGAACACTGATCTGCTACAATAGAGGGTCAGATTCATTGTAGTGTCGTACTTATCCACTATCTATTTGATAAAAGCTATTTAATTTTTATCATCATCATCATCAGTCTATAAGTGGCCACTATTGGCCCAAGGCCTCTTCTTGCACGGAGAAGGTTTGAGCATTAATCATCATGCTTCCTCATTGCGGGTTGGCGATTTCAAACTTATAATTAGAAATTATAAGCCCATGTTTCCTCACAATATTTTCCTTCACAGTTTGTAAGTGGTGTAATAATCTTAGAAGGTACATATAACCCGGAAAAAGTCACATTGGT